GGATGTCCTCTGCTGTACAGGATTTTTTTTTTTTTTTTTTTGCAATTGTTTTATTTAATTGGAAAAAAAATTTTAAAATTTTTTTAATTTTTAATTGCTTTTTTTTCTCAAAAACATAGTTTATATCTTTTTCTCCTTTAATTTCAATGCTCCATATATATACACGCACATGAGTAATATTCAAATGAAAATTATTATACAATTTTTATATAGATTAATATAATTTATTATGAATTTTTTATTTTAAAAGAGAACACTTATGAATATCGTTTTATGTGGGGGAGGTTATAGCGATCCCGGGTTTACCCTTGTTGTACAGAGATCCGGACATGTGTCCGTGGATGATAGTAGTTGATTATTACTTGGTGTACATCCTTTCTTACTTTGTATTTGAGTTATAGGATGTGTTGGGCTGGTTTGTTACAGGTTGGTTGAGTTTAGAAACCAAAACTAGTTGTCCAGATTTTGGCCTGTCCGCTCGAGCGGGGGCATCCAGTATTTCCTGTGCAGTGTTGGACGCTCGAGCGTGGAATTGGCCGCTCGAGCGGGGTTGTGTGAGTGCCGCTCGAGCGGGGAGTTGGAAGCTCGAGCGGAGACCTGGTTCTGTAAAAGTTCTGGGAGTGTGTATCCGTTAATGCATTAAAGTGTTATTATGAGGGTAAGACTTGGAAGTTGTGAGAAATGTTTGACGCTCGAGCGGGTCGACTGGGTTTAAGTTCCGTGTTTTGACTTTTCAAATCACTTTTTCACTTTCTCTTCTCTCTCCTACTTTTCCAAAAACACCATTGTTGAGCCTCTCACTCTAGAACTCTACCTTCTCTCTAGGTTTTGATCTAGTAGGAGTGATTTGCTCATCTTTGGCCTTTACAAAAAGGTTGTTGATCGTCGAGGGCTACATTTTAATCTAAAAATTTCGGGATTTGAAGCACGTTGGGTTTTGTCATCTTCTCCTTTGGGATTCCGAATTTGAGGTAGGGATATCCTACTCCTCTCTATGGATTTTGTCTTTAAATTTTAGTATTTTGAGATGTTGGGGTTGGTTTGGTAATTTTGTGAAAGTTGGGGCTTTTGTGTTATTTTACAAAAGTTGGGGTTTTATTCATAATAAACCTAGATGCATGTTTGGCATAGAGAAATGGAATAAATGTTGAATCAATGATGAAAAAAAGGGTTCGAATGTCAACTTGAGGACATATGACCTATTATTTTGTGTGATTTAATTGGGATATAATTGTGAGAAATGAAGGAATGAAATGTTGATTGAATATCATTTGTGCATTTATTTTCTGTTTAGAATAATGCTTTGGGCTATCGGTGGAGGATAGTCGTGATTTGTGTAGAAATGCATGAGATTATGGAAATGGAATAATCAATGGATTGTGTCATGGAATTTGACGGTTGATTGAATACATTAACTGTATGTATTGTGTGATTGTATATAGAACCAATGTGTTTGTATACGTTATGTGTAGAGGAGGAGATGGGGGATGTACCTCTAAACTGGATAGTGTTGGGAGAAGATAGGGGATGAACTCCGTAGATACAGCTCATATGCTTGTCTAGAGAAGTGAAGATAGAGCTCATATCCTTATCTGTGAATGTGGATATTGTTGTTATACATATCTATTGAGAATGTGGATAAAGCTTATATGCTTATCTGTGAATGTGGGATATAGTTTTTATACATATCTGTTGAGATGATGATAGAGCTAACAGGCTTATCTGTTGAAAAAGGGAAAATGAAAAGTAACTTGGACTTATAAGTCGTATGACATAAATATGTGATTTATGTGAATGTATCAGTGTTGGCCATCTATCAATTGCTAATCTTTTAGTCATTGTTCATGGTTGGTTTAGTGTATTTCTACTGGGCTGTGGCTCACCCTATATGGGAATATCATTTTCAGGTACAGGTAGCATGCCACCTCCAAGGACATAGCTTGGGAGGCTAGAGGCGGACATACTTTTGTCGTTTTACTTTTTGATGTATTACATGTAGATTCAAGCCAAGGGCTTATGTGTAAATGAGTTAGCACTCTTTTGTTGTAACCAAGTGTTAACTTGGAAAGCTGTAAGCCCGTAGGGCATTTTGCTTTTGTTGTTAACATGTAATACTTTTGTAATGAAACTCTGATGAATAGAAAAAATGTGGTTATTTCATATGTCAATGAATGTCTTATTTGATGGGTTTAATGTTATTATTTTGAGGGCGTTACATAACTTATCCTTAATCTCATCTGGAACTTCAAACCAACAATCTATATTAATTGGCACCATCTTCCGAGCTAAGACCCCTTCTAAGGTTGATAAGTGCACTGATTCTTGTCCTATCGGTTGGTTCCTTTCATTGAAGTCGATCGCATCACACTTTTGTTTGCCTTTGTCATGCATCTTTAACTTTGACGGCCCCCTAGTTTTCTTCTTTAGTTGTTGACTAGAGTCAGCTACTCCATTTGCATTTGGTGATTTAGTTTGTCGAGTATTGGAACCTAAATCTGAAATTCTAATGGGTCCATCACTTCTATTGTCCATTGTGGCAGCAACTATAGCTTCTTGCTCTTTCCTATGTCTTTTTGCTGCCTTTTTAGAACTCTTTATGACACATGAAAAAAATAAAAACAAGGGAGCCAATAATTGGTTAAAAATGTGTACCCAAAATAAATAAATTAGAAAAAAAAAAACACTTGTTTGAAAGTTACCTCTGCACACATTGTTGGTTGGCAACTTCAATTACTAAATCCTTAGAAAAGAGTTCCACCTGCAAAAATGAAAGAACAAAGCCAAGTCAAGTAATATTTTTTATATGAGATACAAATATATGAAAGTATTTTGTAAAAGGGGAAAAAAAAAACTACTAATTAATTTTATACACACCACAAATATCACATAGTGAAAAAGTGATTCTTAAACATCAATCACAGTAGTGCAGCAGCAGTTTAGAAGATGAAATTTCCCATTTTCATTAAGTAAAAACCAATTGAAAAGTAAAAGTGGATAAACTTAATCCATGTAAGGAATTCAACCTTTTCCGTTTAATAGCCAAGCCTAAAATTCAACTAGAACAGTAATACCCAAAATAATCATTAGACAATCTAATTTCTATTTCTTAAAAAAATAAAATAAAATAAATAAAAAAATAAGAACCTGATCCTATGAACAAAACCAAACAAAATGATTTAGACTTTAGGTCAAATTACACATTAGTAAAGGCATTTTGAGCATCAAAGTAGTGTTTGGTCCACTAAAATAAAATGTGAAAATATTCATTCCACTGTTTGATTGATTAAAAATAATTATAAAAATAAAGGGTAGCTAAATTATTTTTCACCAAAAATAATCATTCCATCTCATTCCATTGAACTAAATATAAACCTTCAATTTGTGGCTAGACCATTTATCTTCTACGAATTTTTTTTTTCTTTAGGCAATGAGCTAAAGTGGCATAAAACTTGAGCAGCTTCTACTTAAAAGCTGTCATTCTGCACAAATGAAACCTTCAAAAAAAAAAAAAGAACAATACAAAACAAAATAAAAGACAAAAAAAAAGTGTGAAGATTGAGCTTTATGTTTTATGTTTCTCTGCTTGTTTAGGTCAATCAAACTTATTCACATGCATATGCTAACAATTGCTACCAGTCTACATGAAATAAATTATTAAAATTATAAACCAAATCAAAATAAAGCTTTGTATACCAGTCTAGACATGTTCATGAAGTGATTAAGAATGTTTTTTTAAAAAAATAAAGAGACAAAATTAGAGATATTACTAGAGGCAATAACAATCACCTTGCTTGGTTGGGTTTTTTTGAAATTTTTTTTGAAAAAGTCACTTGAAAACTGTTTTTTGAAAAAAAGTGGTTGTTTGGTTTCCAAAAAAATACATCATTACCATTTCAAATTTCCCTCCAAATTAATCATTGAAACAAATAAAAAAACACAAAAAAATCACATCAAAACATTCTCTCATTTTTTTAAATATATATATATACATACATACATATATGTATACATGATTGGACCTATGGTTACATTATGTGGCATGTACCCATTTATGGGTATATATCTTACCATTAACTGTATCACTTTTTATAAAATTTCCACTCATTGCAACCATAGAAAACGTAATTTTTTTTTCTAATTTGGCATTAGAAAATTTATTTCGTATTATCAAATTTGAATAAATGTTATGCACAAAATGAAATCATAAATTTGTATTTGCAAAATCGTACGTTGGACAAATTTATTTAAAAAATTTCAACATAATCCAACTTTATTTACAAATTTGCAAAAATGGTAAATTCATACAAATTTCGAAAAAACGTAAATTTATACAAGTTTCCAAAAAACACAGTGAATTTATGTACACCAAACCGAAAACCGTAGGCGCCATAAAAACTCCCAATTATTTCAAATTCGCATTAAAAAAAAATGTGAATCAACGTGTACATTTATTTATGAAATCCTAAATTTTTTTACAAATCTACGATTTAAGACATCACATATTTATGTTTATATTTATTTTCAAAATTGTTCAATTTCCATGAAATTTAAATAAATATTCAAACTGAAAAATAGTTCTGGGTTGTTTGTGTAAATAACAAAAAAAGGAAAATGTACTTATATATAACCATACTCTTTCCATGGATGATAGATACAGACACAAACAGATTAGGGAAAAAATTAAACAAGCAAATATAAGACATTTGGGTGGAACAATACACACCTTTTGTTACCAAAGCCAATATCCATATACAGATTTTATACTAAACATTCATAACATAAAATGCATAAAAGGAATATGTGTGAATTTTTTTCCTGCTAAGAGTATGAAAATGTCAAACAAATTTTAAATCTAAACATTCATAACCGAAATTTATATAAGAGAAGTTGACAACTTACTAAGGCAGTGCAAGCATCCATACAATATTCAGTGCACTAACATCAACAAGGGTCATTACATATATCCATATGTCCTACCGCAACACATAAGTCAAACAAACTTCATAGGTCTTACATAATTCTAACCACAAAAGATTATCCGACTGAACAATACAAATGACAACTTTAATGTGGTACTATGGATGAACCCTATGGTTGTTCCACATTGCTGTCGCAATTTCATCACGAAGTTGAACCATTTCATTCATGGCTTCATCTGCTTCATTGGAAATGCCTGCCGCAGGAGTTATGGGTGCTGCTTGGCCCGCACGTGCATTACAGCGCCTATTGAACCATGGATCATTTGCAGAGTGCATGCAAATCCAGTTGTGACAAGCACAGCATGCTGTAACTATTGTGCCTTGTCGCACTTGCATGTAGTTCGGCATAGATCTCAATATAGGAAAACGATTCTTCAACACCCCAAAGCGTCGTTCTATCACATTTCGTAGTGATGAATGCCGATAATTAAACAACTCCTTATACCCATTTGGACGACGTCGACCTCCATGAAATTGGTCCAAATGATAGCGTTCTGAACGATATGGTGCGAGGAATCCTGTCATATTTGTGAAACCCGCATCGACCAAGTAATATTTACCTACATGAGTATGTCACATTAACACAAGTTTATTGGAAACTATTTTCAAGTAAACTTTTAAAAGCGTCGTCATTACAAACCAAAACCCTTACCTGTAGGAGGAAGCGGGAAAGATACATCGGGCCGTGTAAGCGCATCGGATAACACTCGCGAATCAGTTGCACTACCTTCCCAACCGGGATAAACAAAAGTAAATTTGAGGTCAAATGAGCATGCTGCAAGAACGTTTTGTGTCAGTGCAACCTTCCTACCGCGATATGATGTTCTCTTTGAAGCCGGTGCATGCCCCGCAATGTGCGTACCATCGATTGCCCCAATACAGTCCTACATTACGCAAATATGATAATTATTACATTTGTGTGCACCCAAATTTTATGAAATACTCGTCAGAAAAATTGCAAACAAACAAGGGGTCCCAAGCTAACCTTAAACCATGGGTAATGCTTCCAGTTGTTTCAAATTTCAGGAGGAATAACATTCGGGTCAGGAGGTCGAATGATAAGGACAGCAAGACGACACAATGCTCTCATCATAATTTTGAAATGTCGGTGAATGGTTTCCGTTGAGTGTTGAAAACGATCAGCCGCAAGTCTATGTCTTTCACTGTGTCCACATATATATAAAAATATAGCAAGGGATTGCTCTATAGATAACCTGTTCTTGTCCACCTTTATGAACTCTCTGCGTTTCAATTCATCACAAAGGGACCTGAACGTTGGTGCATCCCTCCGCAAGACCTCCCGAATTGTACGCGGATGACCATCCAATAAATGTTGAGTGTAAATTTCTCCAGTGTATGGACATGTCCGTTGGGGCTGCTTTCCCGGAATTCCGTTGGTTGCTTCCCACATCTGGCATACCATGGCAAAGTCCAAGTCATCATCGTCCGATGCAATAAATGACGACCTCAACTGCGCTGCATTACTGTCTTCACTGTCCTCAAGATCAGTACTGTCCGGACTGTCCTCGCTCTCTACGCTGTCCTCGGTCTCCAAGCTTTCCCCACTTGAATCCATCTCCGCTGTGATGTTGTCGTAGTTGGGAAATTCATTTGACTGACTAGGGTCCATTTCTGTAAACACGAAGAAAGTAAGATGAACATGAAAATGTAATTTCACATCGACACATAAATTCATACTATTATCCATCCATAACTTTGTAGTATGAAATTTCTAATTTCTGAAATGTTTCACTAGGATTTTTAAGTGCAAGAAAAGAAATTTGAGTAGCACAAGAAAGTAAACATGACAACAGTTGGTGTACGACAAGAAGTCCACCAAAAAAAAAAACATTACAACAGCGCGGATGAACATTTTGTTGCTGTTCTGTTGCTGCCTATGTGTTATATTTAGCAATCTGTTTGGTTTGGTCTATGTGTTATATACAGTTGGTGAAAATCCTCACCTTGTGTCCCATTGAAGATCCAAACCCTAACTAATCATATAATATTTTTATGTAATTTAATTATAAATATATAGACTAACTTTGATAATTTTAATAGATTGGATACAAAAGATACATTTTATAGATCATAGAAGAAGCTCCATGTACAAACACATAAAGACATAGGTAAAGGCCTCTATTTCTTTTCCGTCATGTTCATGCTCAACATAGAGACATAGGTACAGGCCTTAGTTTCAATTTTTTTTTCCTGAAATATATTAGGTGCAACTGGTCACTAGTGTTATATGCACAGAAAATCTGTGCAAAGAAACTCACATGGAAGCCAATATCACATGTGAGTTTTATATTCAAACTTCTGAGAACAACTTGATCCAATATGCATTTGGAAGTGCTAGATTATATATCCATTTCAGTGCCTCATATATGGAACATGAAGGATATACAAGTACAGGAGATTGTGTTGTGAACTGCATACTCCACCCTAATACCAAACACAATTCAAATTCAAATCAATGCTATAATTTCTTCCAGATCATTTTCTACTATTTTGACAATAAATTTTTTCCACCACAACAATAAAGGATTAATAACTGAAATGGACTTAAAAAGCCCTGTTCGAATTGTAATATTCAAAATATTTGGGGGAAAAAAGAACAGACATCACTTGTAAATATTACCAACGCTACTAATACCAATGATAAGTTCTGACTCCGCAAACATTTTGAACAGTATGCAAACAATTGTCCACATCACTCCTTGATTTATTGTTGAAATAAAAAAGCATTTCAACGAAAAGGGAGAAGCAATAAAAGTAAGCTAAATAGGTAAATTACGCGGAGTATTCCCCATATAATAAACAAAGAAATAAAGAGGAAAAGAAAATAGTCTA